CATATACAGACATACATACACACATACCATACACATACATACCATACACCACACACACACACACACACACACACATACCATACATACATACATACATACACACACACATACCATACACACACACACACACCATACACACACATACACATACCATACACACACATACACATACCACACACACACACACACACATACATACATACATACACACATACATACACACACACATACACACACACATACATACCTACCACACATAAACATAACACACATACACACATACACATAACACATACACACACACATCATACATACATACATACATACATACATACACACACACATACCATACCATACCATACATATATCCAGTGGTAACCATGAGAGAGAGAAAGTATATTAAAGATGTTAAACCCCTCCAGGTCATCATGGTGACGTAGGAGCACCGATGGCAGACATCGTCCTCCCCGGCGCTGCATACACAGAGAAAAACGCCACGTATGTGAACACTGAGGGGCGGAGCCAGCACACCCGGCTGGCCGTCAGCGCACCGGGGATGGCGAGAGAGGACTGGAAGATCATCAGAGCCGTGTCTGAGGTGAGCAGGAAGTCACTCATTGGTGAACATGGTAGATGTAATAAACTATTTCCGTTGACTCCTTTAAAAGCAAACTCAAAACCCAACAAATTTCCATCACCTAGTTTCAGCATCACTTCAGTCACATGCTCTTATCACATGGCAATACTTATGGTGTTGTGTAATGTTTTTATAATTGTTATGCTTAAGCTATTACAACTTTTCTGTCATTAAAAAAATGTGCTTTGATTTGTCACTTTCACAAAAGAAATGACTTATCATTGTTTATTTATAATTTTTTATGACAGAATTGTATTTGTTAAAGTGCAAAGTGATCAAAATAAGGAAGATAAAGCATTTTAAAATAGTCAAATGATAATTGACATCATATTGAAATTGACCTCAAATGTAATGAACGTGAATGTGTGTGTGCAGCTGGCCGGTGTGGCACTGCCCTACGACTCTGTGGAGGAGGTCCGCTCCAGACTC